ACTGTAATTTACCCAGCCTTCTAACCAAGATATAATTAGGTTAAAAACATTCTGTAAGTGCTCTGTGAAAAGAGCTATGATCACTAAATCAAAGAATTTCACAGATTAATAGTTAATAATGACAAATATAATTGATAACTCCTAAGATTTATATAATGGAGAATCTGCTCTTTCTATTGGTTAAAAAATGTTCATCAGCCATGTAAAGTTAATTGGCAAGCAATACGGATAGACAGTGAGAAAGGGGCTTCCCTAGTTGGTTTAACAAATTTGTTGATTATACAGCAAATCAAGAAGGTTCAAATTTTAGATTTGTGCTTGAAATTAAGTGAAGTGTGTTTCTAACTAGCTTGAAATAGTAGAAGTCTTTTATTGAAGTCAAGAGTTTCTAAAATAAAAAAATCAGAGCTCAGATGTATCATGTGACACAGAAAAATGAAGACCAATAATTTTTTAAATATTTATTTTTGAAATTTACAAATTAAAACTTAAATAATAATGAAATTTGAATTATAACCTACATTTTCATGCCAAGTTTATTGACATAAGTTGATGATAAAATTATTTGATTAAATTTGGAATGTAACACTGTAAATGGTCTATACAGAACGTTTGTTTGTTTGTAATTAAGCACAAAGCTACACAATGGGCTATCTATGCTCTGCCCACCACAGGTATCGAAACCCGGATTATAGCGCTGTAAGTCCGCAGACATACCGCTTTGCCACTGGGGGGCCTAAACGGTTAAGAGTGTGGTGTAGACACAATTCATTTGTCCTTTGTGGAGTGTAACAGCTAATTCTTCTCTGTTACAATGATAATCATTCTAAAATAACTTAGAAACCAATCAGTATTGAATAAGCACCACAGCTTTAGTCATTTAACCTGCTTTTAATTTTTATTTCCCTCATATGAATGTTTCAGAGTCTCTTTAGTTAATTTTCATGTTTGGTATTGGTAGTTGAAACTGGAGTCAACAGGTAAGTGTTAAAGTCCACAAAAACAGTAGGTTCAGAGTGTTTATAAAGAAAAAATAAGTTCAGGCAACACCATAAACAAAATATTTATTGTATATTACTATTACATAACGTTTAATAGACCATTAATAAATGCTCTTAATATATGAATAATAATTTAAAAATTTTTGGTGTCCATATTTGAATTTGAGTTGCATTTCTTTCAAGGCTAGTATAACAACTAAAATGGCCCAAAAGATGTCTATGGGGTGGTATCAAGGTCAACGAAGAATGGAATTTGTACGAATGAGAGGTCCACAAGGTAGAGGGCATGCTGAAATGGCAGTTACAAGAGTGAGAGGAACTGGAGCTGAAACACCAACATCAGAACCAGGATTTTCCTTGACAGAAGACTATGATTGGGAAGATTTGGAAGTAAGTTTGAAGAACTGGTCTGGCTTATATTTATTCATATTTTTAATTGCCTGTTTATAGTTTTAATATATTTTAATTATGAACAAAATCTGTAGAAACTAATTGTCCTATGTATTATAAAGTCAAGATTTAATATCTTCCAATATATCTTTCTCACAGTGGAGTCTGAAGTCAATACTGTGTTTAATGAGTGTTTGTTCTTCTGAAATATATATATATATTGTAGTTTATTCCCATTTCCATGCCTTGTATACCATTCTCTTTTGAAGTCTACTGTATTCTGCAGATCTTATCAAATAAGGTGGTTGCAGATGCTTACAAATGTTGGACTTTGTAAGTTTTATGGACTGTATTAACCTATGTATTTTAATTTAAATGGCTAAATTTACAAGTAATTTTTGGTTAAATAAGATGCATTCTTTGATATGAAATATGCAATTTCATTCACTGTGTGTGTATCAAATATACTATTAATAACTCTTGTAATTCTTACATGTGCATAAATATCCAGATCTTCCTATTACTTACATTGAACCTATTTATTTATTTATTTTTTATCTTTGACCCCTGAAGTTCCAAAAAAGGCACCAATGCAAATAAATCTATTTTAGACTGCGGAGATTTTCACAAGATATCTTTGTGCAAAGTTAAACCTAAATCATATGAAATACAGAGGAGTGATAGACCAAAAGCCATAACTTTGCAAACATAATTTTAACCTTTCAACCCTGTAATAATGAAAGAAAGGCTAAAAAGCTCTTATATTTTTGCTTAAGTCTGTGGGGGTTGGCATAGGGTATCTGTTTTTGCAAAGGCTCATCTAGCTTGGTCAAAATACAGAGGAAAGGCAGACCAAACAACCCTAATTGTGTGATATATTTTGACTTTTGCCCCCTTGTAAAATCACAATAAAGCAAAAATCTCATTCCTGTCTGATTCAGTCCATGTAAGATGTCAATGTATCTTTGTGCAAAGTCTCATCTTGATTGGTCAAAATATAAACCTATAGCACACCAAAAACCGTAATTTTGTAATTTGGGTGACTTCACACAGTATTACGGTTTTGAAGTAGTGCTACAAAATTATATGAGCTGATTATTAATTATGTTATTCTAATGCATATATGACACACACACACACACTAATAAAATAATAGCAAAAGCACAGCTTAAAACTACAAGTAAGTTATCATATCTTTAAACAATCAAAATGATAAAACTGTTCTAGCCTCAACTGCCTGTCTTCACAAAAATAATTTCCTTAATCCTAGCTTTAAACAGGCAAAATCTTTTCACTTCCTCAGTGTGAATTATCAAATTATTATTAGTATAAGATTTGTTAGATTTAAATATTTACCCAAAAATCTCACAACAGTAGAATGAAACCAATTATGAAAAAAAATTGAGTATTCGCAGAACAAGGTTATGCATGTTCATTTCTATGATGGACATTTGTTTAAATGATATATTCATCATATGAACATCTAAACAAGCTTTCAATTTTCAATAACAAAGGCAGAAACTGACAGCTAAGACATCTACCTCTTTTGTGTTAACTATTGTGTTTATTAGACTTGCCCATATTGAATTAGTTTTATGTTTTAACATAAAAAAAAAAAATTACAGGCTGAAGTACTACATTAAAACAAAAGGTTCTATTAACTCACAAACTTTCCATCTCTTTAAAGAGATCTCCATTAGGTGGAATTACAAAGTGTATAGAGATAAAAAGCTTGTGAATTAACAGAACCGTACAGTTTAACATGGTATTCAAGCTTGTAAGTTCCTTTTTACATTAATACAGCCACATTTAACTTACATTAAATGAATATATAGTTTTATGTTTGGTATATTCTTTATGTTCTACTGGTGAGCTTCTTCTGAGTTATGTTTCAACTTCATGCACACAACTTGGTGTAAATACTCGCTTGTTATCATAGGTAGAAAATAATGTTTCCCTACCCTAGCATCATACACTCTCTTTAAGGCTTCATAATGAATAGATCCTAGAAACACAACACCTTGAAGTGTGCCATCCCTGTCTGTGGCTAGAAGTTCTACACATACCATTTCTCCATCTCTGACAATTATATCTTGAAACACCTAAAAAACAATTCATCTTAACATCAACACTCTTAGATTACTGCTGTGGAACTCTAACAAATATATTGTTTACAAATGCAAACAAGAGGAAAAAATTAAAGCATAGAGAAAAAAACAACACTTTTTTCAAACTACCTCTTGAAACAGGTATGTGGGACTTTAATACATTTTACAATTGCTTTAAAACATATTTCTAGTCAAGTGAAATGCTTAAATTGAACACAATTGGATTTTTACACATACATTTTAGTTACACATAAATGGAAGATTATATTATTATTATTTAAAATACAACAACGAAATTGTAAGGAAAGAGTAATTGTAAAAAAGGAAGTTAAATTAAGAATGTAGTAACAGAGTATATGTGGCATTAATTTTGTAAGACAAGATGAGTACCTCATGTTACTAAGATTTTTCTATCAAAGTGTATCAATAATATATAAAGATGACAAAAAATGTGTGAAAATAGATTTCGTTTTTCTGTTATTATCATTGCAAAAAAATACTGGTGAGTTAACTGTTAACACTATTCTATGACTGCATCGTGTAGGAAGATTAACAATTATATACCATGGCAAGAAGGCATCTAGTCAACAGCAGCCATTGCCAACTCTTGGGCTACTCTTCTCAGTGTATAGGGGTCATGAACCACATATCCTCTGATTAACAGTCTGGGCACACAAACCAGAAATACAGGGAAAAGGATCAAAGGTTAAGAGTCAAAGTAAGCAGTGAATTTTGTTCATTTGTTTTTGAAGTTCATGCAAAGCTACTCGAGAGCTATTGCACTAGCCATCCCTAATTTAGGTGTGATAGATAAGAGGGAAGGCAGATAGTCAAAATCACCCACTACCAACTCTTGGACTACTCCTTAACCAACGAAAATTGGGATTGACCATCACATTATAATGTCTCCACAACTGAAAGGGCAAACATGTTTGATGAAGGGATTCAAACTCACAACCTACAGATTGCGAGTTGAATATAAACAGTAAAGCTCTTAAAGCTACATCATCAACCTGATACACATTTGTATGAAGACTTATCAATAAAAGTGATCATGCTTTTTGGTGAGTATGAAAAACTAAAACATTATAAAATTTTCATTAACAAGATAAATACATACATTAAATCAACATTACCTAAAAATATTCAAAAATGGCTTAAAAAACATCAAGAAACTGAAAGCTTGCACATGCTAATTGTGTACCATGTGGATATGAGTAAGAGCACTGAAATGTGAAAGTTAACATTTTCCTAAACTGAAAATGTATTTCCGATAGAAATGTACCTCCCCTCACAAGATAGCTTTTCTTGATTAGTACTGCCCTCTATTGGCACAAATTTTCAATGCTCATCACTAGTCTTCCACCTCCTGCTTCAGCATATACACATGTAAATGATTATGCAGCAGCTCTCCACCAGTAGGAACATGACACAACCGTATTGTAACTAGCATTCTCTCCATACTAGCACTTGTCGATCACCTCAAGATTGGTCAGAAGACCTATACCACATATCACCAGAAGTGGGGAGGCTGGGTGAGAAATGTGAGAGGAGGTAAGTATCTATTGAGAATACAATTTCAGTTAAGGAAAATGTTAACTTTCAATACAATATCTTATCTCCTCTCACAAAATAGCTGAAATCCCACATTGAACTGGTAAAGGGCCATTAAAAAAATGATGCCCCATCAGGAAGCACTCAAAGACCATGAGGTGTGAATCCCAAAAAAGAAAATATTGCACCTCAGTGGGAGACTGCACCACATCTGATCCAGGTATACTCTTTGCTCTTTTATGACTGTGTCAACAATATAAAAGGTGGAAAAACATGAAGGAATGCCATTATACATATTACCAATTAATTGGAGTGCTAGGTGTTGAGTGGCTAGGGTGCAACAGACTATAGTGGTAATTCAACCTCATCCAACACCTGACAGTATCTGGAATTGTACATAAGTTCCAAGGTAGGCAGAGGAACACCTACCTCTTCACCTTGAAACAGGAATTGGTAAGGAAGACAAGCTTGTGTACCAAAATCCATCTCCACTTGTGCACATTTCCAACTCAACCAACATCTGATCCACCATGAACCAACATCCAGTGGATGGTTGGAAGGAGGCAAGCCCCGGTGGAATGACATCTCCAGTCCAAAACCTGGTGCCATTGGTTATGGTTCTTCCAGTCCACAGTAGGAGGAGGATTCCTAGCCTTACACAAGTGGGAATACGTTTGTTGCGTCCAGCTACAACCAACACCAGATCTGCTGTGAACCAACATCCAGCAGATGGTAGGAAGAGGACTGCAAACCTGGGGTGCATCTCCAGTCCAATACCTGGCAGCTTTGGCTGTTTTTCATCCAGTCCACAGTAAGAGGAGTGATACTGGCCAGAACAAATGAGAACTTACTTCGGTGGACCACCTCCAACCAACATCTGACCCCCTGGGAACCACATCTGGAGGATGGTAGGTAGGAGGAGGAGGAAGATCTCAGCCTGAGGGGCAAACTCAATATATACATATATTGTCATGACATGGCATGGGATGCTTTAACCAAAATCTGGTGGTATGTGGAATTGTACATCAGGTCTACAGTATATATGCCATCGGCACCCACAGAATGTATCACCCTACTCTCAACTAAGTGGTATGATGCATCACTCAGGAGGACAGACCTCCATGGTCCACATCCCAGCAGCTAGGAACTGGTAAGTGGCAAGGACTCCCATACTCAACTAGAAGAAATGAGAGAAAAATGCATTGGTGAGTCTGGAGGACCGTATCATCAGAGACAGTGCAACAGGTGACCTCAATAGCCTATTTTGAAAAGCAGAGCTACCATGTCGACGAAGTTGATCAACCAAAACCCAGTAGCATCTGGAATTGTACATCAGATCTACGGTAGGAAGAGTTTCAATGCCAGAGAGCATAAGAGATGGGCAGCAATCCCTGTCTGCTTTACTCATGTGTGTCCATGAGTGTATGGTCTGGGACAAATATACTTATGAAGCAAACGACCACTAGAGAGCACTACTAGTGGTCCTAGAGAACATCCCATTTCTATGGTGTGCGTAACATAATTGTTTTGGTATAGATGACAATTAAATGAAGATACACAATCAACACCTGGCAGCATCTGGAATTGTACATCAGGTTCGCAGTAGGAAAAGCTAAAATGTAATTTACATTGAGCATGGTCACAAGATGGATGTTGCCGATTTAAAAAAAGAAAAAAAACGTATACCTAGTCATACTGCAGAGTGGGATCCACAATACACAAGCAAAAAGGCCCCTGTAAATAAAGAAAAAACAAAACATACTAAATGAAAACTAAATCTGTAGTAGGAAGAAAAATGTCGACAAACTTGCAAGCAAAAACAAGCCCATCTGTACAGAACTACCAATTGAGAGGTGATTAACGTGTGCATATGTGGAGAGGATGCTGGTTACAATAGGGTTGTGTCGCGCTCATATTGGTGGACAGCTGCTGCATAATCATTTAGATATGGATATGCAGAAGTGAGAGGTGGAAGGCCAATAAAAGGCAGTACTAATCAAGAAAAGCTATTTTGGGAGTGGAGGTAAGATATCGTATCGGAATTAATAAACAAGGAAAATAAAACTTAGTACTAATGATATATGAGCCAACTTCAAAAGATACATTGCCTAATTTTTTACAGTGTTTTTATTTTAACTGTTTATTACCTCATCATAATTGTCAACCATAAAAAATATATTTGGGTAGGCTATTTCTTCAACTTCTCCTTTACACTCCATACTTCTTCTACTGGGGGAAGCATACACTCTCTGAAGGTAACGAAAGATACAGAAAATACATTCATACAACAATGAAAGCGTATAATAATTTTTTTTTATTGCCATCCAATTAAATTTATATATATATATTAAGGAGCAATCATCTAGGAAAAAAAATAAATGGGATAAGTTACCTTAGCATTGTGTGTGTTTAAGAAAATATTGTCAATATTTAGGTAAAAATGTGTACTTATACCGTGGTATTTCTTCGAGCACTTATACAGTTTCGAGTTCCTTTAAGTTAATTATAGTTTTTGTGGTTTCTGCATATATTTAACATGTTTTCTACTCTTATCTATTGCTTTGTGTATTATTCCTAACTTTTTTTTTAATCAAAATTCATAAAAGCTATAACTGGAGCATTTTTGGTAGGAAGGTCTATCTTTTGAATGTGAATTATCAACTTTTCATATCCCTGTGTTTTTAACTATTGTGTACACATATACATAAATACGAATATTTAGATTGAATATACATATGCAACTTCTTCCTTCAGAAAAAAGTATATAAATCTTAACATACTCTATATAGTAGGCTTAGTAAGGGTGAACTAGTGTCATGCACTTTTAATGAAGTTAAAATACTAAAAACAGTTTTATATTTCTAATAAAAGCCATGCGTATTTAAATATCATTAAAAGACTTTAATATACATTAAAAACACTTAATTTTTAAACACATGTACATATGCTTGTATTTGCGTAATGGTAATAACAGAGATCATGATGAATACTCCAAGTTCTGAGCACTTTTTTATAATGATGAAAATAAAAACATAACAGCAAGATTTTTTTATTATAACAAACATTGTAAAAGTAGTGTAAAAGAGAATGGAAAAGATTTCGTCAACTAAATTTCCAATACTACCTATGTAACATAAACAGGAAAATATATGCAAAAAATGTGTGTTTTCGGTGGTTTAATTACTGAATGTGACAGAAAAAACAGTTAGCCTGTCTATATCAGAAGACAAATATAAGTATGATCACACTTTACAATTTGGGAAAACTCTGGTTAAAAAGTTAAAAATCCCACAACAATAAATGTTTCCTTTTTTTTTATTATAAATCATGAAAATATTTGTGGGAAAAAGAAATGCAGTTATTGTTAAATATAAATATATCTTACATATAATACCTACCTGTGAATGTCGTTTAAGAATCTGCAAGTCTTTAGGACTCGTTCTGGTACATATTGCACATGTTAGCGTATACTCAAACTAGAAGAAATAAACAAGCAGCTTGTCACTTTTGAAATATTATATTTTTATAAAAGTATCAGAAAGTTTGAACTGTGAGAAACTTTAGCACTTTTTATACTTCTCTTTTGTGTTATGATAGAGTATCAGCTAAACAGATACACATAAGAAAGATACAATTTTGAGTTTTATTATTTAATTCAACTATGAAACTTTAAAAATATTTTTGCAGTGCAATTTGACTCTCAATTTCTTAAAATTGAATATTCCTTCAATTTGCCTTTCAGCACATCGTTGAGTGAATCAGTATAATAAGTTGCAATAATTGGCAAAACCTATCTGCCACCACAATGAGTAGGACCTACGGAAGCAAATTAATACATGTAAATTTATATTGGTACACCTTTACATAACATGGAACATTTAAGTATCATTTTATGTAAGGGTAAATGAAAAAATGTTGGGTGTGTATCAGGCCCATATGCAGAATGTTTGGAAGGGGGTTTCTGATTTTTGAGATCAAAACCAACACACATTGTGCAAAGCATGCTAATGCTATGGGGGAACATCCCCCCCAGAAAAAAAAAGATGCTATGAAACAATCACAAGGCTGTTCATATAAAATCCACAAACATCCTATGAAAACTCAATAAATCATCATTCTGTTATTACACTACATTGGGAGCTAGACTTAAATTAGGATAAATATGTATGTTTTACTGTAGTAAAGTACTGTACTATCTATATGCAGAGTAGTTATTAATTGTTAAATTATATAACTAATTCAAACAACTGTGTAGAACTGTAGTATATTAGCTATTTCAATCATTGGCTATCATATATGTACGTGTATGCATTACTGAAATAACATGTTAGCATGTTCCATTCTTCTGGGGTGCTTTTCAATTATTTGAAGATCTGGATACTACTGTATATAAATTTGTATATACATTGGACTTGTTTTAATATATTATTTCAAAACAAGTGGACTGTGTTGCTGTTTGTTTAATGTTGAGATATATCACCAAGAAGTCACAGACACCTACTATAATGAATCCAGCCTACAAAACCTGACAGCAGCAATACAGCTTTGGGATTCTAGTTATAAAGTGTCAACAGAAGCCATTGCATGTGACTATTTCAAGCCAAAAAAATGCTAATGCTTCATCAGAAGAATGCAGACTATATAGAAAACATTAAATACTATAAGAAGCTGCTCTATAACTATATAAGCATAATTTTTTACATCACAAAACTAAGGGGTTTGGCTGAACCCCCCCCCCCCCGAGTATGTGCGTGTGTATTTTTTAATAGTAAATCAGCTCTTTCCAGACTGGCACCTTATTAGAACCGTGAGTGCAAAATCAGAGCATTAATTGTACATATTTATATCTAATGTGAAGCTGTCTACATTTTTTTGGTGGACAGAAATCAGTCCAAAAAGGTTAAGAAGTTGAAATATAAGTTCACATGCTTAATGTTCTGAACATGTAAAAACTGATCATTTGCTCATAAAGTTATTTAGGCATGGACTTTTGAAGGCACTAGCAAATGTTTTTTTTTTTTCCTCTGATAGCAAGTTTGGGATTGCTAGTAACAACATTATTTTTCCCTAAAAGTAACTGTAACTCTATCCTAGTTCATTTTTTCGTATATCAAATTTTAATAATACTTACATTCTTTTTCATCATGCTTTCTTTCCAAATATTTTTGAATATCAGAACTAATTTAATTACATGTAACAGTTTCTACACACATTATAGCAACAGCAGTTCCTACTAATTTTGAAGCATTGCATATGAGCACAACAACACAAAAGCATATTTATAAACTTTTCAAAATTCAGCTACATTTAGATGATCTTTAACTTTTAAAACTGAAAATCTCATGATCACTGTCCTGAATCTATGTTCTCAGGTAATTAATTCAAGTTCTCTCATTGCTCCTAACATTTTCCATAATTCCTTTAACTTTTATGCCTGTAAGCTGAATATCAGTGTATCAGTACTCCATCTAACACATAAAACAATGGCTAATCAGAATATTTTTACTGTTCTGGCTAATATGTGAAACAGTTTTAAATAAGAAGCTGTCACTGTTCTAGGAAATACATGAAATAATGCAAATTCAGAATATTTCAAAACCTACCAAGCATAATGTAGAGTCAGAAGCTCTCATTATTCCAGCTATCACTCAGTTCTGAATTGTGATCTCTTACTAGTACAGTGAGGCACACAAAATAAGTTGGTTCAAGAGCTTTAGCTGTTTCACCAACAAATAAAACAAAATGGATTCAGAAAATTCCAATGATCCAGATTTTCAAGAAAGTATGTGGATTAAAGAACTTACGAAAATATAACACATGAAATAAATGCAACTTTTAACATTCCACCCAACAATGATGATTCAGGGTCATTCAACAATCCAGGTACATATAATACAATAAAATACATGAAATTACAGACTTTCATGATTACAAGTATTATATGAAACAATAATGATCCAAAGATCTTCACTAATCCAGCCAACACACACACAAGAAATGGGATTCAATAATTTTACGCATTATTTACTCCATTTTGAGGAGTGGAGATCTCATAGCATTCAGCCTAAAATCTTCCAATGTTAAAGAATCAAATAAACAATCAACTTACACAATTTGATACTTCTTAACGGTCAACATCCAATGTTTTTTAAAAAAATAAGACAATTACAGCTAAGTTTTATAACTCAATTTGTCAATAACCCTGAAATTATTTTCATATTAGCAATGTATAGTAACATTCACCTGTTGTAAAATAAGATTCAGATACAGAGTTTCCTCCCAATCTATATCCGGGTCTCCTATTGGCAGCTTTCTTGAGTCCTTTCTGAATACTTCAATTGTTGTCTATTGGGAGAAAAGAAATAAGTACAATTTACAATCTTATATGTTTTGGTTAACATATTACATCACAAAATCAAAATGATAACAATATGAATCAGAGTAATAAATCATGTTAAACTGTCAAACATAGTCCATACAGTACAAATATTTTTAATACCTTTTTCCATACTAGAAATGAAAGAAATTGAGGCTTTTTTAGACAAGAACAGATGTGAAAAGAATCAATAAACAAATATTGCACACTTTTCATTATTAGTAAAGACAGTAAGCTGTGCATAGCTTGCACCCCCTAGTGTGCTGTTGGATTTACTGTTGAATCTTAAAATGTACTACATAAAAAAATCTAAATTAATTTGTTACCATTTTTAAAAAGTATCTGATATGTCTGTCATCTTGAATTTCAGATAGTAGATTTAAAAGCCTACATTCATGGCTAACATGAAATACAAATTACATTTCAAGGACATTTAATAAATTTGTATCCTTTTTAATATATCATGGATATGTATAACTTAAAAATTAATAAAATATTTGCTAAACAATCTGAATGATACTTGGTACACTTTCAATACTTCTATAACTATTTTGGGGGTATAAAACTTAATGGTACTTGTTAAGCTTTCAATATATTTAACTTTTTTGAGGCTATAAACACTTCCAGGTGAAATGCTGATAGAATAAAACATGAAAAACAAATGTATTTATTCCAACTGCTGGAATTGTTCATTGTGTATTGGTTAATAAATCTTTTCCAGAGGTCTATACATCACCCAGGGGATGCTGTTTCTTGAGGTGTTTACTTTCATCCTTGAGTTCCCCAACAGGTCATTAACCTCAATATTTTACATGTAATAATTGTTTCCTATTTTTAATTTTCTTTTTCAGCATCTAACTGTGTTTTATTTCATTCATATTTTTTCTTCCTTATATATCTAGTTTCATATTTAACACGTGTATTATATTGGAGTTCAATCTTATCACTGACTGTTTTCTATATCTTGAATTTAAGTAATATTATCACAATCCCTAGACTTTCAAGAGTCAGTACATGGCATAATTAGTTGTTAACAAGAAAATACATCAGTTAGGAATTTTAAATGTTAACATTTGTCAACACTGAAAATGAATTTCCGAGAGGTACTTAACTCCACTCACATGTTAGCTTTCCCCAATTTTGTGCTGACCTCTATATAAGCAATGTTTTAGCTTGCCACTAGCCTTGAGGCTCCCACCTAAACTCACATGTTTCCATGTGGTATTGCTGTACTGCAGCATGCAACAACCCTCCACCAATAGGAGTGTGACACACCCTCTTAGCTCAGCTAACTCCATCTATACTGATTGTTCAATCATCACTTCGAGATTGGGCAAGAAAGGATGCACCGGAAGTGGAGAGGACAGGTGTGAAGTGTAAGAAGAGATAAGTATCTATTGGAAATACATTTACAGTTTTGGAAGATATTAACTTCTGATATGATACCTTACCTTTCTCACATATTAGTTAGAATCCCACAATGAAGTGGTAAAAGGACCAGTGAAAAGTTACTTAGCTGAGGCCCCTTTGGAAAGTGCCCAAAGAGAACCCATGGACTGTGACACCCCATACCATGAAAGTAGAGAGGAACACCCATGGACGACCACACCCCTTCTGTACTAGGGTATACTCTTCACCCATAGTGAAGAGATGTGTTGCTAAGTTGGACAAAAAAGAAGCAAGCCAGAAACATAGTATGGAAAATGGACATGTTGTAAAGTGTAGATTGGCTAGGGACCATATGTTGCTGGTCAACTCCAGTCCAAAATAAGGATGCATTAGGGTAATGGCATAGAGAACAACATACAGATCCCAAACAGAAAAGATGGCAGGAAGAGGAGGACAAAAAAGGAAGAAAGAATGAAAAAGGACAAAAATTGATAGACAAGGAGAATGTACAACTAAAATGGGAAAATTGGAAAGTATTCGATAGTGCCACCCTGTAGCCAGCAATAGTTGAAAGCAATAAGACTTTGTCAAACAGCCAAGTGAAAAACTGAGCAAGGTTCCACTGATCATGAAGAATCCATTGAAGACAACATATATGTGAACAACCCATAGGGATAAGTGATTCAATGTAGGCCTAAGTCCCCAAAAGAGAGAGAGAACCTCCTGCACAGTGAGAGGAGGAGAGGTTATGGCATTAGAACCAAGTGCTCCATGTCCCTCACACAAAGAGGAAAAGGTCCTGCCGAGATAAGAATTGTAAAACACAACCAAATGAATAAGATACTGATAGGGTGTGAGATGCAACTTCTCCAGTTTGACCAGCCAACCAAGATGTGTCAACTCCTGAAGAAAGAGAAGGATATGATCATAGGAGGCTTGTTGGGACAGAGCCAAAAGAAGCCAGTCATCCATGTAATTGAAACTGCAGTCCCAGGTAATGAATATGATTAGCAAAACCTCTAACCACCCAACAGAAAACATACAGAGCCAAAGCAAGGCCAATGGAGAGAACACAGAATTGAATCACCTGACATTAATCAATAAACCAAACATAATGCCTGGACACAGGGGAGTGTGAAGGCAAGCATCCGAGACATTGACCTTGGTCATCCATAAGCCTGGAGTGAAAGACCACCTGAAGGTGAGAAAGGACTCCATGAGAGAGGTCATTGAAACGATTAAGGGTCAAAAGATCAAGAACAGGATGCCAATCCCCTGTTTTCTTGGGGACAATGAACAGACAGGAATAAAAACCTGGGGAAGGAAGAAAAATGTGTTCTATATCATCTTTCTGCAAAAGATACAGAATTATTTCTGGCAACAAACCAGATTCTGAGGAGGAGGGAAAGAAACAGGGATAGGAGACAAAGGAGGAGGGAAGAAAACTAAGATCCAATCTTTCTAATAACACCCAAAGGACCCAACAATTGGCTGCAAATTGGTGCCAAAGGTGTGCAAACTTGGCCAGCCATGCCTGATCCTAATGGATAGTCACCATCATTCTGACAGCATGGAAGGTGACAGTGAGAGTACTGCTGGATCAGAGCAGAAACACAGGAAGGAAGAACATGGAGAGAAGAGGAAGCTGGAAGATGAGAAACAGGAACATGAAAAGATTGCAAAAAATGGGAAACCTGAAAAGAAATGTTGGCATGCAGCCTCCACATGAGATTTTAATGAATCAAGGATACCCAAAAAACAGACTGGTGAAGAAAAGGAGCAAGACAAAGATCTTGTAGATATGAAGCAGGCAAATACACCTGAAAAAGAAGGGCATCCCTGCCTAATAGGTTCCAACAACAAAGCAACCATATATGGAGAGACAAAGTTGAAAAAGATAATAGTACCAATGTTGAAAGGAGTAAAGAATGAGTATCCATTAAAAATCCCTCAGAGGAATGATGAATAGCCTCGGAAAGCAGGTGGATAAATGAGATGTAATGTAGTAGAGTAGTAAGGGTGAGACGAAGACAAGAGAATTAGACTGGGAAAAGATAATGAGAAAAAAAAAAGTATCGTATCCCTATGCCCGAATAAGAGACTCTAAAGTCTGAGTGTCAAGAAAGGGAAATTCAGCCCAATAGTAGGCCAGAGCATGTGTGTCTGCCAAACAAGAAGGATGAGGCATGTTGTCTCCAACAAGGTGAACAAGAAATTGATCTTCATAGACCTGAATATCTGGGGAAGGGGAAAAACAAAATAATCAAAAACTAGGCCAGAATGGAGCAGAGAAGAGAAATAATCATAAGACACTATATCCAAGATGAACGAGGTAGATCAATGACAGTGGATAGAATAGATGCACCAAAAGCAGGCAGAGGAAAGAGGCTGTCAAAATTGTTGTCCTCTTGAATGGGATCCTCAAGGAAAAGCATATCTGTTTCCAGGTCAGAAGATGGATCAGACCACATGTACAACTCCAACTCCCAATACACTATGGTTGACACCTCCTTGATAAAAAGAGAGAGCCCAACGCCACAGTAGTAAGCTATCTAGCAGGATTAAGATCTTGTGGATCCACACAAAACAAAGAAGCAGTAAAATGAACTTGCAAGTTCATGATGTGGAAAGGAAAGAAAAAATAATCAAAAGCCTTCACAAGCTAAATAAAGACAACAGAAAGTGTAGTCCAAACGAGAGGTATTAATCACTAGCACAAGCAACAAATATTTCAAATTTTCCTAAACTATAAATGTTTCAAATAGATTCTTATCTTTTCTGACAAATAGCTCTTCTTGACATATACTGCCCTCTATATGTGCACATTTGTGCTCACAACTAGCCTTCATACTCCCACCTACCCTCACATGTATTCACATGAGACATCCATCTGCATACTATCATGCAAATGATCATGCCAACAACCCTCCACCAATAAAAGTGCAACACAATTCCCATTGTCACTAATGCCCTCTCCTTCATGCAGCCTGTAATCACTTCGAGATTTGGCTCTACATACAAAACCGACACTGGAAGTGGAGAGGATGGGTGGAAAATGTGAAATGGGGTAAGTATCTATTGGAAATACATTTTCAGTTTAGGAAAATGTTAACTTCTGATATGTTTTCTTACCTCCTCTCACAAATGGCTAGAATCTCACAATGAGTTGACAGAAGATCTGGTGAGAATAAGATCCCCCTTTAGAAATGCCTAATGGGAAACCATGGGGAGTGCAAATAAATGGAATGCAACATCCCTATGGGAGACTTCACCACTTCTAATGAAAGTATTCTCTTTGCCTATATGAAATTGTGTCACAGTAAGGGTGGAAACAATGACGGGACCTCCCAACTTAATCATGTGTGCACATCCAACCCGACCATCACCATATCCATGGGAACCCAACATCTGGGGGACGATAGAAAGGTGGACAGCAAAGAGGGGGTACATATCCAGTCACTCACATGGCAGCATAGGGAATGTATTGGCCAGTCTGCAGTAGGAGGAGGGTACCCAGCCAAACACATGTGAGGACTTATGTGGCTTGTCCAGCTCCAACCATCACCAAATCTGCCGGGAA